GAAGAATTTTTGAAACGGGCCCCTGAAACCATGCTTATTGAGTTTTGATAGGAGGAGTGCGTGATCAATTGTATCAAATGCCTTGGACAAGTCCAAAAACATGGCAAGGGCTACTTTATTATTTTCAAGCGTTTCATTATTAGAGTCCAAGAAAACTTCAAGTAATGAAATAGTGTTCCTTCGTTGCCTGAAACCGCACTGCCCGTCGTTCAATAACGAAAATCTCTCACAGAAGGCATTCATACATATTTGTACCCATTTTTCGAGAATATGAGCAATTGTTGGTAATATTGATATCGGTCTAGAGTTTCCTAATTCTTTCTTACTACCCTTTTTGTATAGCGGCTCACTACTGACAATTTTAGTCCTTCCGGTATTTTTTCTGTTGTGAGGCATCCGTTAACTATAGCGAGGAGGACCAGCTTTAGACTTCAAAAATTGTAGCACAAATCTCTAATACGAATTTGGTCTATACCAGGCACTTTCGTTATTGACATTGCATTAATAATGTTCATGAGATCGTACTCATTTATTTCTGGTAGATGTGCTGAATTTGCACAGTCAATTTGGTCAGCCGGTTCATCATTTACATGCACCGCTATCTTTTGCCTTAGGGCTTGTGCGGTACTAATGAAACTGTTGAAAGATTGGGCTAGTTCCGTGTAGTTATCTAATGCTGGAAAATTCTTCCTAATTGTATCGTCAGTGTTAGTTTTCCTTTTCCTGCCCATCAACTCATTCACGAGGTCCTATGTTTTCCTTGGGTTTTTTGCAGAACTAAATTTGTTAGTATAATGATTTCTTTTGGGCAATCTAATTTTAGCCGTTAACCTATTTCTTAACACGTGATATTGGTTTTTTTAAAGTGGCATTACTCGGATTTTGTTTACATCTATGCAATAACCTGTCTTTCAAGTGGGATAGTTCTAAAATCTCTTCATTAATCCAGACATTTTCTTGTTTTCTTTGCTTCAATTTTACATATTTTGACAGATATTTTATATATCTCTTGAAATTTATCAACGAGTAAGTCGTAAGCGCTAGCATGGTCATGTACTAATAATGAATTCCAGTCATACAGACTGATAAGATGGTCTACCTTTTTGTTATCTAAAACGGTTTTAAATACACTCTGGTTTGACATTTCATTTTTTGAGCTTTTACCCAATATTGATAGTGCTACTAAATAATGATCAGCTACCTTCTGTTTAATTACCACCGGCACTAATGTTGCATTATTAATTCTTATTACTATGTGATGAATGCATGGCTTAGTTATTGTACCGCCATCATATTCTTCTCTTGTGTAATCGCGTATCACGTTCTCGAGCCCGAAGGAGGAAAGCGTGTCGAAGTAGTTTGAAACTCCATACTTCTTCTCGTTTAGGACATCTATGTTAAAGTCACCAGCCCGTACGATATGCGGGTTGTTATCAAATTGGCGCAATAATGGTGAGAGTTCCTCACAGAACATTTTTATATTAGAATTAGGCGGTCGATAAACTGCACATACAATGTAAGAAATAGATGCCTTGTGAACAAAAATTGCGCATAGTTCTGCATGGTCGAAGGAAACGTTAATTCTTTCCGACAAACAGCTATCATTTATAAACATTAGCGAACCTCCTCCCTTTTTTCCTTCCCGACAAAGACAGTACGAATGAAAACCAACCAAACTATATTCCACACGTGCTTCCTCTTCGACGTTTATTTCATAAAAAATCAATACGTCCATAGACGACAGTTTTCCAAACAACAAAACCAATCGGTAAACTCCATGTTTGTTTTGCCCTTGCGGCTTTCCTACAAAGAACAAAGAGTGGGATGTCTGTCCTGGTTCCTAAGTGTTTTTATTTTTGTTTCCTTTGATTCTTGCAATTTCCTACGTCATGATTTTTTTTTTCTTATTAGTAGTGTTCGCGCATCAACAATGCGCAAGTGTAGGATCGTAGCCCTGGAAAATGTTTTGTTTTCTGGAAGACCAGCCTAAGCAGAGCACTCCCTTCGAGCTACACGCTTCCTCCCAATTTCTCAAAGGGGCACTCTCACGTGTTTTTTAGACAGTATTTACATTCTAATTTTTTTTCGACATTACACATGTAACAAGCTCGCTTCAATTACTTAAAGAGGCAGAATGACATTCGTGTTTTGCGCAGAGAGCTGCCTCGCTTTCACTTGACTGAACCGGAACTTCATCAGAGTTACTATATAACTACGCGTGCTCCTGAGGCACGGCATCTGTGCTACTGGAATAAAAAATAAATCAGGCAAATTATGCAATTTGTTATTCTTTATTTGTTGGCAGTTTTTGTAGCGGTACTATGAAAGGTGGGCGCACTTTTATTAATGTGACTGAAGCAAGACGGCGAGTAAGTATGCAAGAAAAAATGTTCTCCAAATCATTTGGAATCATATCGCGGGACACCTGGAATGAACCAAACATTTTAACGAGTAAAGATAAAGGTTTTAATGTAAAATTAAATTTTCAACTTACGGCATTTTTTATGCTTTCAATTTAAACAATGCGAATAATTTCTGAAATTAAAAAAAAATGCTCGTTTTCTGATCCTACAGTATAGGAACCGTGCGGATGTAACTCAAGCCCCGACCAGGGCGCCCCTAGCGGCAAACAGATTCGCTTTCCTCGGGCAGCTTCTCCATTCCGGCGCGTTGGGATTGTGTTGAAAACGTTATTGCAGTCTAGAAATCGCAACTTGCAAGATGCCGGTTCCCACCCTGAAGAGTAGAAATAATTGCTGTGTGGTTGGATGCAACAGCACCTACAAAAATTCGCCCGATACGAAGTTCTACGGGTTTCCCGCGAAGTCCTACGAGACAGAACGCCGCGCGGTTTGGGCGCGACTGGTCCGTCGATGCAAGTGAGTCGCGTTTCTCATTACACTTTTCAGTTAACGTCGCGCTTTATAGTGTGTGAAACTATTTCGTCTAATGTCCTTTTTCTAGCGCCGATGGAACGACTTGGACCCCTACCCCGAATTCCAAAATTTGTAGGAAGCATTTTTTGGGGAATGAAAAGCGAAATGAGGAAGCCCACCCGAGCTACAACCCTTCGATCTTTCCATCGCCGTACAAGAAGAGAGTGGTACTCGGGGTTGCTGAACGACACGACAGGCGACTTTCCCACTTTCTGTGGTTCTGTAGTTTTTATTTATTGTTAATCTGTCAGTCAGGAATTTATTTAAAGCTCGCTGTCGCAAGGTTTCGTCGCGCGTGCACCACGGGTACTTGTGAAGCTACCCGAACCCCGGGCGGCTCATTGCGGAAAAACGGAGCGTTCAAGTGGCCGTTTGTCGGCACTCCACTTGCGCTTTCAAATGTCGTCCGAAAGTGTTCTGCACGATTCATGCTTATTGCATATCTTTCGTCAGCCACTCGCCGACGATTCGTTTTAACAGAAAGCGCGAGCGAGACAAGCACTACTGAATGAGCAGCATGCTTTCTTATAATGTCTGCGAAATACAGGTGCGCGATCTTCTCAAGTTTGCGGACGTGGCACTCGCTCGAATGTTGCGGTTGTGATTTAAATCTCACGTCCTCCGGTTGCAGCAACAGCCTCTACAAAATACAAGAAAATACAAGTTTTCTAAGGCACACATATATTGAACCTAAAAATGTACTAGCTAAGCACGCTTACCATTACGCTGTTAAAACGAGTCAGAGATGCCAGTTTTTGGATTTCAGATATTCTTTGTTATAAAGATAAAGTTTTACGGAGTCCAAGTGTACACATAATTAGCCAAGTTAAACAAAAAGAAGTACAACGAAAGTAGGCATGCTAATAAGGCCACAAAGTGCCAAAAGCAAGCCATTCTTCACTAAAGGATGGCATTTGCACGCTAAGACGGCACTAGAACGCGGGCATAAACCACCTTCGGACGGCACTCTAGACACTGTGTAGAGAAAGAGCTAATGAGGGCTGTCGACGAAACGATCTGTCGGTAAAAAGCTTTGTCTATGATACATTGCACATCGACAAAACATTCGACAAACTGATTGCCACTGATTAACAGAATAGTATGGCTACTGAAAAATTTTCTCTCTTCAGGCAACTGAAAAGGGTCGAACAACAAAGGCGTGTAACACCGTGTACAGCTGCACCTGAAGTTGATTTACCCATGGAGCGGCAACCAGCAGAGGAGCCAGCACCTGCTCCATTAACAGCCAGTGTAAGCAGAACTTTAAAACAACTGAATAGACATATGAATACCATTTCTTACACTCTCTATGTTCAGAGGTGGCTGTGTATATGTGGACAGAAGAGTGGCCCTGTTTGGCGACTTGCCATAAGGATATTTTGGAAACACTCCTGGCAAGTACAAGCCTGCCAAATGAAGTTCCCGTGTTTCTTTTTAACCCTCGGGCATCGTATTCGTAGCTGTCTCTATGAAATGAATTTGAAACTTGCAAGTAAATAGGGACAATAACCTCTTGGAAATTTATAAGGCTAGGAATATGGTGAAATAGGCACTGGAGGACACTAACGAACACTTCAACAAACTCCATTTCTTCACATATTGTTCTGCCTGGGCTCCTTGTTGTTCCACGTCCGTTCTTGTTTGTCTCATATAAATATGTAACCAGACATACTATTGTTGGTTGGCAGGTGAAACCTCCAAAGTTGCCTTTTCTCAGAATGTATGTTCACATAGAAGCCAATAAATCCTGAACTCGGATGTGAATCTGAATGTGTGCACCCTATAGAAATAATACGGACTTTTGGATTTTACGGCTCAGTGTTGCATTCCTTCCTATCTTTGCAGGCTTCCACCATGACAGAAGATGATGGAGCAAGCTTCTCACCATGCACCCTGTTTCTTTGCTGTAACATGGGGGGAGATGTCTCAACCCTTGTCTGCCATAAGGCAGTAGTGGACGAAGGGTGTGGGCCAGACACGGTGTCAGTTTGCGATAGGGGAGCTGGGCCAGCGTACCAAGAGCCCTTCTTTACTGGGTACAAGTCTGTGTGTGACGACGAGGCAATGTTAACAAGGTTAAGTTCCGCATCATTTTCTTTATTTGCTCTGTTGTTGAGCTTATTTCCAGATACCTCGAGGAGGCAAAATAAACTGTCAAGCGAGAATCGGCTCTTACTATTTTTGATTAAGTTAAAACATAATGTACCTTTTTCGTGCCTAGGCATTTTGTTCAGTATCCATCGTACGACGGCAGCACGAATATTCAGGGTTACACTTGAAATCCTCTGCGCCAGTACAAGAGACTGGATTTGGTGGCCGAGAAGAGGCGCTGTCCAGGCCACCATGCCACCAAGCTTCAAAGTTCATTATCCTCTTTGCAGGGTAATAATAGACTGCACGGAGATGAGGCTGGAGATGCCTCCGTCAGTCGAGAGGCAAAACCTTTGGTATTCGCAGAACAAAGGGTGCTATACTGTTAAGTACTTAATTGGAGTCGCACCTAGTGGTCTTGTGACGTTCCTTTCAGATGGATTTGGTGGGCGGACAACTGATACTGCTATCACAATTGAGTCTGGTTTTTTGCACAAACTGCAGCCCGATGATGTCGTCCTGGCCGACAAAGGGTTTCCAGGCATAGTAACTGGCGTTGGTGCTAAAAAAGCAACACTGGTAATGCCACCATTTGCATCAGGAGTGCAGTTCACAGGGGTTGAGGTAGACTCAACATACGAGACAGCTTCTGTCAGGATTCATGTCGAGAGGGTAATTCAAAGAGTGAAAATTTATACAATAACCCAGCGTGTTTCGCATCATTTAATTCCACACCTGGACAACATTATGCATATCTTGTGTGTACTCACCAATCTGAGGCCGGGTATATTTAGGCCTCGGTAAAGTGCAGATCGTTCATAGCTTTTGGAGGTAGTCTAGCAGTGTGTAGTGTCCATTTGCAGGCTAGCCTCGAGGTTCCGGCTGGAGAAGTGCTACTAGATGCTTTGAGCTGCTTGCCAGTTTAGGGAAGGAATCGAAGGGCAATTCCGCTTTATCTTTGGCGCACCTTGTGGGTTTCAGTGCGCTCAAGGTGGCACAACCAAGAACTAGCATGTGTCCCACGTAGCATGCATGCCCTGTAGAATGACTGCTATGTCGCACATGCTTTTCAATCGTTTTACCGCAAAGCATCGAATAGAAACTCGGAGGCAGTACATCTACACAACTGCGCACAGTATTGAGAAGAACAATAATTTACTTCGGGATTCCGCGACGTTGAGTGTACTGAGAACAGTCAAACTCAAATTAACTAGAACAGATTTGCCCTTTGATATACCCAGTCAGTTCATTCCATTTCAGTTTGACTGTGAAATTGCCTTCATCCCCTCGGAATGATAAGCAACTGTTCAAAACATGCATGGCACCCCCACCCCTTTGTCCCCTTACCTGAAATGCCTTGCTGCAATGCATATAGCCATACTAGTTCTTTTCCATATTTTACTGCTTCTGTTGACTCTGGATTTTCATTCTGTGTTTGTACAACTGTTCATGCACTGAAAAAAAAAGATTCTTGTTTTTCCTTATAGTCAGGATTTATTGAAGTTGCTCAATTGTTATGTGCCTGGTTTCAAGCAGAAGGACATTCTTTCTTAGCTCATTTTGAACGGAGCGCAACGAGTTCTCCTAAGTAGTACTTGAAATAAAATGACCGAAGCTTCGGAATTGCTTCAGAGAGGAATTCCTCGTCACGCTTGATGTTGAGCGTCTTGTGGTCTACAGAGCAGTACAAATATAGATCGCACTCTTCAAGCTGCAAAACATACAAGCAGATTTGTATTTGCGTGTAGTATGTGTGTGACTTTCGCAAAGAAATCTCCTTGCTGCACTTGTCCTCTACTAGGTATGACAGAAGTGGCTTTTCCGTTAACTTCTTCTTCCATCGGCTGGAGGGGCACTTGATCTCAAGCAGGGTGGTTTTGCCGTCCTCGCTCCTGAGTATAGAGAAATAATGATTAGCTGGCAGGGTTTGATATGCATTTCAACACGACTTGAACAAAATATAACCGCTGAAGGTATGTCCGTCTTGCATGTGTATGTGAAAGACGTGCATTAACGCTTTGAGAAAATGTATGATGCTGAACTGAAGCCTTGTGGTAAAAAAATATGATAATGCACGCCACAAGGAGCCATATACCGGCAAAGGTAGTGCATATACCTGCACGCATGTACTAATAATTTATTCAAACGAAGCAAAAGGGCCGGACTGTTTCAACACGGCGAGAAAAGCTTGTAGAAAACGTCAAAAGAAATCGTTTGGAAGCGAGAAAAGTTAGTATAAAATGTCAAAAGAAAGCATTTGGGAGCTCTGAAATGGTAGTCATTAATTTATTAAAAGTGCACTAAAATGGTCTTCAAGACCGCATTTCGATGGTGATAACTCGATCTTTGTGCTCCAAGCATCCTAGAAATTAAATAATTGCAATCAAACACCCTTCCTTTTTGCAAAATTTTCCATAAAGAAAGAGTGTATATAAGAAAGGCCGGCCGGCAGGGAATGCGCGACAGCTAATCGCAAGCTGTGGGCTACCGAGTGACCTTGCGCTCTTCCGTTAATTTGAGCTCAGAGTTTGGTTTTTAATAATGCTTGGAGTGCGCAAGTTGAGTTAGCACCATAAATAGACGTCCCTAGAAACTTTTAAGATTCATAACTTCTTTAGGCTCATGACCAGATAACTCTGCTGAAATGTTGGCTGTCATTTCGAGGCTTTAGTGGAGGTTTGAGCTATAGTACCGAAAGATTCCATCAGGAGAACATCCCAACCAGGGGTCTTCTGGTGCCAACACAAGCCCGAACTGGTGAACTTTGAGGCCACGGTCCTCTTCAAACTTGCTTCGGGCTTTCGGCTCGTTGCGCTGCCCATGAGCCGTTGCTGGCGACCAGAATGGAGCTTCAGACACCATGGTCCTGGCGACATCTCGAAGGTCTCCTTCACAGCGTATCACTTTGTGGCCCTGAAAAATAAAAGACTTGGAACATTTACACTGAAACAAACAGTTGACACCAGAGCTTAAAGGGGCATTGGAATCATATTTAAGCGTCTACCTTTTTATGCGGCTCCACATCTTTGGGGGTTCGGGAAAGTCAGCGGGCACGGAGAGAGTAACTAAATATCGGTGCGTCATATTTTAACCAGACGACGCGGAAACCTCGTCCCACCTACGGGGGCAACCTGCGGTGCCGAAAGCGCATGATATGTGAAGTCTGGTCTTGGCCTTGCTACTGGTCAGAGCCGCTAAAAGCTTCTTTTTAGTCGAAATACAAAATAAAAGTGGCACGAACCGTTTCAGTTATTTATAAAAGTTTTTGTTCAGTATTTCAGATCAGAAAAGAAACAAATGCAGTTTATAAAGTGCGGAAACAAGAAATGAACCGTCGACATACCCACCACCAAGCGGCGGAAAAGGCGGCGCATAGTAGAAAGGGGTAACACTAGGATCAGGCGCCAACGAGCGGCGAGCGTAGAAATATCCCGGATGTACGTGGCGGCACTGCGGTCGTATATGGGCTCGAGGAGTTGACTGGTTTTGAACGTTCCGAAGGCCTTCGGCGAGCAGGTATGGCTTGCGGTTCAGCCGTTTGGTAGTATGGCAGCGCGAAGTGGCTCCCTTTCTAAACTGATCTTTACCCCGTGTTTGCTGTCGTTTGGAGCCAATGAAGTGTCATGCCGAACTAGTGTTTAATCGCGCAGCGAATGCAATGCAAGCCACCCTGGCCGCCCGCTTCATACAGCATGTTCAGAACATGCTTTAGTGGCACCCTCTTTAGCCGTCAACACGGAGTGCGGCAGCTGTGAATGCTCGCTGAGCTCACTACTCCTCTAGTTCATGGCCACTCAAGTGACCAACGACGTCATGAAGGAGGTTATTTTTTGCTTGTTTTTGTAATTTTAATTTGCCTATAACTTCTAATATGAAATGAAATACGAGAAAAGAAAAGTTTCATTAAGTTACTACGTTCAGTGTGCTCAGGTTCGGTGCGAATTAAAAACCGGTAAAAGAGTCCTTGCAGGGTCCTTCAAGAGACATTAACATATTTCTATTGTGCTTTTGCCCCTTGTTGACATAAACAGATGTAATACCTAGACTTATTGCACCAGCTGTCATGAGCATCCTGGTTCACTATGTAGGAAAGATTGACAAGTTGCTAAAAAAATTATGCATGCCTTTGTTGCCGTGATGCGGAGCAGTCGCTCTTTCCGCCAGGTGTCTCTCGACAAGCTGGTCTCTCTGCAAATCTCGTGGATTCGCAACAACGAAGCGGAGACGCTGCTGTCGTAAGCGGTCCTCTCACGATCTGTCATGCTGTAAGAAAATAGTATGTACAAAGTAGGCGATCAATAGTGTCAATCGTGCATCCCAGCTTACCTGTCGAGAAACACTTCTTCTTTCTGAATAGGTTTTCCAGAATCGAATGACATGAAAAAGCTTCGATACCGAAACCCCTCCAAAGGCCAGTCGTACAATTGGAGAACATCTGGTGAAAATGGCAGTCCAATAGGGTCCTCGTCGTCCGGACACTCCATTTCAGCCCGCAACATGTCGTTGTGGGGACAGTTCAAATCCGGGAAGAACTTTCCCACGTGGTGGACGTCAATTGCACGCACGGAAACTGACGCGCCTGCAACAGGGTATTTAGGCAAAATTAAAAGGCTTATCTGTATTTGAATATCAGCGTCGCGAAAAAAGTAAATGCTCGCACAAGTACACCTCAAATTGAATTCATGCAGAGCGGTACCACGACGTACCTTTCCGGGAGTTCGGGGGGCTAATCTAGAAAACTTAGGGTACGTCTTCTTGGACGAAGGGATGCCCCAGCTTCTCGCGTGACTTGTCTTCGATGTTGCGGCATCCTCCGCCAAGTACACAGCCACGGCGGCGGCATGTTTACATTTGCCAGCGACGCCAGCTTGGCAGTCGCATTTTGCGCGACGATCGTTCTGTCCTTGGAAAGCTGATTCAAACACAATAAATGTCCGCATGTTAGTTCATTAGTTAATTCAAGTTGCCTTTTTATGGACTTACCTGTACTTCAATGTATTTTGCAGGCGCATTGAGCTTCGTCTGCGGAGTACACCGCGCCGAAACATCGACTTTTCTGTCATAGTATACCTCCTTCACGTCGTAGACGTGACCGGAATCGTAGAGGAGTTTCCCCTTCGTTAGGTTCGCACCTCGGAAGAAGCTTTCTGGATTCTTAACTGCCTTAAAACCCGTCGTGATGACGACGGGCACACTCGCAGCAGCGTAGCTGGCCGCCATTGCTTCCCGAGGATTCCTCCCCGGCGACCGCTAGATGGCACTTAACAATAGGCGACGGAAGCGACGCCGCCGGCATGCTCCTTTCCTATTGTTTAAAAATGTCTTTCTTTGACCCTGACGTTTTATTTTTTTAAATTAAAAGTACAAAAAGTTAGTTCACTAAAACTACAAGAATCCTTGCCTTCCCCGGTGTGGCAATGCAATTCAAAGCAACTACGAACATATACAAAATGTTGCCGATTATATCTTTGATCTAATTATTTTAGCAGATACAGGCCAGTGAACTGGAGTTGTGATCATCATATGCACCACAAACCCAAATTGTGATGTTATCATAATTTTTTTTATGCAAGGACGAAATATCTGTAAAATACCCAGGGTGAAGCGAGGTTCTTTGTATAAAGACCACTGGAAAAACACATAAAAAGACGCTATTTGTATAATTTCTGAATGACCAAAGTTTACACCATTTGTCATCATATCCATTTTTTTTTTCAGATCTCTCTCTCGAGCATAACACAACGAAGTGATCTATTTTTACATTCAAACTCTTAACAACAAAATAAAACCAACTATAAACACTGTTAAAAAATATTTACGTGAATCAGGACAGTGGCGTGGTATATTGTAAAGTTCCAAAATTTATTTCTAAAGGACCATACAAGTAAGTAAACATAAGTTGTGTCCATCGTATCTACCACGAACTGTCACGAGGTTCGTTATTTCGTGTTAAATTAAGATGATAAGGTAATCAAACCTGAGACCAAATCGAATTTCAGCAATTTGTAATGATAGAAATGAAGCTATATAATCATAGAACATAAAATAAGATTAAAAAATATTCACAGCAGCAGCGACAGTGTTCAGTTTGGTTTGTTCCGGTGGAGGTGCTAC